TACCGCCCAATCCCTTCCCTTCCCCTATCCCTTCCATCTATCTCTTCCCGATCCTTATATTCACAACCCCTATCCCCAAAAGGCCGGCAACGCACTCGTAACTCCTTTGGTGTTGCGGATATCCATGGGCGGCGCCGATTGCTTACCATCAGGTAATCCGTCTGCTCGTTTGCCGACTTATACCATAAAACAACCCTATTGACAATCTTTAAATTCCTAACAACTCATAAAGGCCGGGCAGCACTGATTGCTTTCAATCATTTGGATCTGACTGCTCATTTGGCGACCAACGCCATGAAAACGATAAAAACCATCTATTTACAACTTTTACCCCTTTTGTAGATATAGTAAACTTAATACTCCATTTACTTTGATTTTCTATTTGTAGGATATAATTAAAATCAATACACAATAGGTTATCAGCCTCCAATGATTAGTTATCGCCCACTGCAATCGCTCTAAGACTGTTATGTATTACTCCATAATAACTTAGCCTATATACAAACCAGAATAATACATAGGTAAGCTTATTCAAGATTTGTGCAAGATTAATCCTTAAAATAAGGTTCAATATTGAGTACATACCATTATTCACGTTTGAGTGATTTGTAAGTGACGAGATATGGAAAATTTCCTGAAATTAGGCACTGCTAAATTCTACGTGAATTTGCGAAATTTTCAGTTAAAACCTAGATTCAGGTGTGTGTAGTATTATATATATAAGTCAAATCCCCAAATCCCTAACAACCCCCAAAAGTCCAACAACTTCTTTTAATGTTGTGGGTGACCTTGAGCGGTATCGAATAGTACCTAACCGCATACAGGTTTGTCGCCCTATCCCATAAAAAAAATCTTCACCGAAAACTAAAAGAATATTACTGACATATACGATTGTCCTTTGTTTTCCCAGATCCTTTAGCTTAAATGGCATAAGATCGACACCAAGCCCAAACCAAAATCATTTAATAAAGTCTCAATACTCTTTAGGATAATCAATAACATTCTTCTGAGATGCTACATACCAAAATCTACATCAATGGAGAGGGTCAATGCCTTTGATATGCAGAGACCTTTGTCCCTTGAACCAATCGGCAGTCGGTAGAGTATAAATTAAAGATATTTGTGTCAATCAGTCTGCATGAATAATGACTTATTTTGAAGCTTGATAAGGTATTGACGAATAGTTCAGATGACCCATAAATCTATGAAATTAAGGCTATTTATTTTATACCTATATAATATGGTATGGCGGTAATCGAGTAAGCAGTTCACCTGATGATAAGCAATACGCCACCCATGGACACTTTCAATATCAGAGGAGCTACGAATAGGTCGACGACATTTCCAGAATCACAACTAGCTAATGGACTAAGGGGAAGGTCTTCGTTAAGCAATGAACGTCCTAATGTTGATTATGATGATGAATAGCAGCAGGTGGAATCTACAGAATACCACTTTATACAATCTTTACTTTCTTCTTTTTCCAGCACATTCATACCACTGGTTCCCGTCTGGCTGGAGACCATCTAGCTTGATGGAACGTAGATTTTGTCTCAAACAGCGGCGAACGAGGAGACAAAAATATTCCTTGTCAGACCTATTGTGTCTGCCCGTTAGATAATCTCTATCTGCAGGCCCTTCATTGTTACCGAAGATTGCACATCGGATAACCAGCTTTGTAACGAACCGATACAATGTCCCTACTGATTTTGGAGATTCCCAATTATTGGTGTTTGGTGGTTTGAATATTATGTCACAGGTGAAGTTTGATGAGTTTTACCAGGATTGTCTTGTTGCAGTTCATAGATACTTTGGTTGTAGAGAGCTGATGGAACTTCATTTCAATCTTTTAAGGTTGAATTTGTTTCCACGACTCGTATTTAGGATACATAAGGCTAGAACGATAATATTTATTGCAAACAAAAATCTGGAAGTAATTATTTGGACGCAACTAGGTTTTAAAAAATGTTCAGAATAACTAGTTTTCTAGACAAAACGGCAGATGAAGCATGCAAGTAGAATAAATTTTATAGAGATATTAGCCTTAAAAAGTGTGGTATACATGTACAAAGAAACGACAGAGTGAGATACAGATCAAGGAAAAATAAGGATCCAATGAAAAGGTAGAAACAATACATAGAAAAGTAATTCTAGGGTGATTAATTCTATTCTAACACATTTATAAAAGAGTTCCATCGACAGAAAACGGTTTGAAAAGTCGATAGAGGAGCGATATGTACTTAAAAGGTTCAAATTAAAAGCACACTTATTGGACGAGCATGAAGATATTGATAAATAAATGTAGAAGAATAATAAACACGTAAGTAGGAATCGTGTCATTTAGCGTTCTATCAATACCGAGGGTAAGAAGCAGAACGACAAGAAAATTTTCCAAACTACCAAGACAAACGTATCAAGAAATACGAAACGTCATATATTTAGACAAAAAATTCCAATGATCGCGGAATTCATTAAACAGCTACTTTACACGTAAAGTGAGTAAATTGAATGATTACAACTTCCTTAGGTATGTATATAGCAATGTGTCTCTGGGCCTCTAACCGGCGGGCCCTGCTTGCCAGGATCGGATGAGATCTGTCTAGGTCTTAACGAAGCTAACAGTAGAGGTCAATTTTCTAGTATAGTTAGGGCTAGGGAAGAGAGAGAAAATATGATGAAAGTGATCTTCTTTTTCGAGTCTGCAATGTCCCGAGAGGGTTGATTCTAATCGTTGATGGCGTCAAGGAGACAACTGTCCTGAGGAGGAGTAGGCTAGCATCACCTGTGTAACTTTAAAGCCACGCGCACTTAGAGGCCCAGTGAGGAAAGAAAATCTGTTCTATCATTGCTTAATAATTTAATCACGTGATCGAATTCACCACCTGTCTCAAATTGCAGAGTCACCATGTAATGACGAAGTGACCCACTTGGGCTGAGTATCGTCGTTTTCTCAGGGAAGTAATCAGCAGTGAAGTCTCGCGCCCGACCTTAGTCGAGGCCATGGTACGGAACGAGACGAGCTGAGAAGCCGTCTTCTTTTTCTGCAAAGCAGCCAGGCTCGCAAAGGATGAAGCATAGTGCGTGGGTAACTATCCTCCTTATGTATCGCGAGATGATCTCCGGTCACCGTAAAACCCAAAGCCGACGAATCTTCATGTTCTGCGTGTGCCTCTTAGAGCCATTACACCATTAAAGATGGTGCCCAACAGGGCTGACATTCAGCCAGGGTTCCGTGGCTGCGGCCATTTTTTTTTTATGTAATAGGTCGGCAAACGGGCAGTCGGATTACCTGATGGTAAGCAATCAGCGCCGCCCTTGGACACTCGCAACGGAGGAGTTGCGAGTGCGTTGCCGACCTTAGGATTGGGGATTTGGAGATTTAGGGATTGAGGAGGGATTGGGGGTGGGGAAGGATTGGGCCTCCGGTAACCTCACTCACACGGCGAAACACAACGCTGTGGTTGTTTCACGCCGGTTTTCTGTGAGGCCGTGGTATCACTCCGGTCGAGCCGACCCAGTCGTGCCGAAGCATGGCTCTCCCACACTTTTGCCATATAAAATTTTTGTTTCAGAATCATGAGTAAACCAAGTGTCTTCGTTGAAATTTTGTCTATAATTGTCTTTCATACAGCACATTATTCAGTGTATTGTTTCTTTATACCTTTTCGAATATATAAGTCGTATACACTACACAATAATAAAATCATATATTGATAGGCATAGTACAACAGGTTAAGAACAATTCTACACACGAACGAACTATAAAAACTACCACCACAAACAAAATACCAAAATATTAAAAATAATAACTTGACTGTTTAATTAAAGTAGTACTCGCAAAAGTAGTAACTTTCATTTATTTTTCTTACAAAACTTTGCCCCGCACTAAGATTTCCTCCTGAGTCGTGAGTGCGTTTAAAAACATAAAAATCACATACACCCACCACTCGCAACAACAACTTGTGGATCACACAAAGTGTTGTACCATTCGGGAATCGCACCCGCGGCACGTTGAACTGCAGGCTTTGCGCCAACCGTGCCTACATTTACACATATTGGATATAATATGTATGTATATGTGGTGTACAGCCATAGGCATTCCTTCTATTATATGAGACTCATAGATAACTGTGTGCACTTCTGCCTAACCTAAGTGTAATAAAATGAAATAAGCGTAAAGTTTAAGTGTGGGAGAACCATGCTTCGGCACGAATGGGTCGGCTCAACACAGCCTCACAGATAACCGGCATGAAATAACCAAAGAGTTGTGTTTCGCCGTGTGAGTGAGGTTACCGGAGGCCCAATCCTTCCCCTACCCCAATCCATTCCCTTTCTCAAAATCTCCAAATCCCTAATCCCCAATAAGTCGGCGGCGCACTCGTGACTCGTCCGTCATTGCGGGTGTCCATGGGCGACGATGATTGCTTACCATCAGGTAATAGGTTTGCTCGTTTACATAAAAAAAAGAAAAGGTACATTTAAACCAAGAAATTTTGTTATAAACATTAGTAGGTATCCAACTAATAGTTTTAATATTAATCATAGATCTATTTCTACACACAAAACATAATATACTAAATATACCACAACGTAATCAAACCATCACCCGATGTTAAAAATAACTTCAACAGTTACGTCATCTATAAAACTGACTACTATTCTTATCAAATATTTAGGACATTAATTCATTGACCCTTTCCATTCCCAACACTCGACATTATCATTTAAATCACAATTAAATACAATACAAACTAAAAGAGCCAAATTAAAAAGCCCTTCAATTTATTTGAAAGCAACTAACAAACTATATCTATCTCTGTTCGACGTACGAAAGAACAGCGAACAAACATGTTTTATTTCTTTCACACTATCAGAACATTAACTGCTTGTATTCAACACAACATTAGCCGGTTTTTCGTGTTTATTTTTGATTCAAACACAGACGTTTAGACATCTGCCCGTGTCGCTCGTCCATTAAAAAAAAATACTGATCCTTCGTAAAAAAAATGGCAACTTAAGGAACTACAACGCATGCGCGCGGTCTGTCAAAAATATTTCTATCAAAACGTTTGTCAGCGGCTTTACGTGTTTTTATTAATAAAAATAGTATTTTTTGTAAATATTCAATAAGTGATTAGAGTGATAATTTTATTTTAAAGTGTTCTTTATAAGACTGATAAATAAAATTGTGTGAAAATGCCTAAAGATGTGACCTTAGTTGGTTTAGACGCGATCCTTAAGGAGTTGGGTTCTTTTGGGAGGTATACTATTATAAACTATGCGTTTCTATTGTTTCCGTGCTTCTTGGCGGGAATGTACGGTGCAGTGTACGTATTTGAAGCCAAAGATATTGATTACAGGTATGTTTTTATGTGTTTTCTCTAATATTTTGAATGAAACCGCTAGTAAATTAATTGCAAAATGAAAATTTATTAATTGTTTTACCTTTTACCAACAGTAAATGTTAAAAATGTCGAGTAATTTGTTATGAATCGGCGTATTTAATTTTTGGGGTTATGTATTTCGATTTTGACAATCACGCCACCCTTGTACGTGTTTGCGCATGCGTGACACAATTTTAGGGTCCCTCTAGCTAATTGGTTCACTGGGGAACTCGTCTCAGCAATTCAGGTGTGAAAGCGTAAAAAACATTTTTTTTTTCAATGTACAATTTTCGATCGTGCTTTTTATTCCCATGTCAAATATTATTTCATTTTTCTTAATTTTTTTTTTTAACTCATTAATGTGAGGTTCGAAAATATGATATACCAAAATGAAAGTCACTGTCTGCCCATTAATCTATACTAATATTTTAAGGAGGTAAAAATTGTAAGTTTATATGTAGGGGTAATCTTTGGAACCGCTGGTCGGATTGCCAAAATTCTTTCACTGATAAATAGCTACAATGTTCCTGAGTGCTATAGGCTATAAAACATCACGCTAGGATTAAATGGTGCAGAGCAGCGGGTGAGGTCGCGCGAGAGTAGCTAGTAAATAAATGAAAAGAAAATGTTATACCAACTGAAATAAGTGCAATTTTTTTTGCTTCTCACGGTAGCAATAAAGTTTAGTAGTACATAATTATAATAGTAAGCAGTTACCATAGAGCAGACACACTTTTAAATTTCGAGTTGCAGGTGCAAGCCTAATGATGTACCGCGACTCTGCTCGGAACAAGAAAAGGAGCAGAGTAGTATAAACGCAAAACTATCTGCCCCGTATATCAAAACTTTTGAATGATCTTTAGGTGTCGGTATTTCCGAACCAATCACGCTCCCGTATTAAAAAACCCTGTTAAGTGTAGTACATTTCTCGACGGCAACACACCAATACACTGCTTCCAATCAACCATTTTTTAAGAGCAGAACGACCCAACCAATTGCCGCCATTTGCGCTGCGTTCTCACCTTTTAAAGGACTTTGGGAATTTTAAGGGTTTGGGGATTGGGGGTGGTAGGTAAGGATAGGTCTTGTGGTAACCCTACTCATATAAAACAATGCAAACGTGTTTCATGTATGATTTTCTATGAGGCCATGGTATTACTACGGTGGAGCTGTCAAATTTATACCGAAGCGTGGCTCGTCAGTCGTCCTCACTTATACCAAACACGAAAAAAGGTTTTTTTTTAATAATAGTTATTTTTGGAACGCGATTCAATTTCGTGTCACATTCAACCTAACCTTTTCTTTAAGTAAATGCTCCATCGCAAATCACGATCAATTACACAATTTAGATAAAGATATCTGTTATCTAAATATTGAACGATAGGCTGAATGTTTCAAGTGTATTGTCTCGTTGACCTTCGCGACCTTGGTGAAGGAGTTGGAGATGACATTGTAGATACGATATGTGTTTTTCGATGACCTGTAATGTAATGAAAATATTTGCATCGCAAATGCTTAGGTATAGTTGTAAAATGTTTGGAGGAAATTTGTATTTTGTATTATTATGGCTGTGTCACTTAGGAGAAAGTTAGGGGTAGCATACCACCACTTTCAATCCTTTGGGATTTCTTTACATCAACCAGACAGCAACCAGGTATACCCTAAGAATCAGACTCTTTTAAACTGCGAGCAACCCTGTGTAGTGTGATTAGTGTAAACATTTCTTTTTCGTCGCTAACCCATCCCCTATCGACGTATCGTAGATCTTCAATTTCCTAAGTTCTTCAAGGCGGAAAACACAGTCTCAACTACTTTCGCGTTTTAAGTGTTCCTAAGTGGTACTGGTTGCTTAACGTTAGGTGATTTGAAGGCTCACCTGCCATGATATCACACAAAATATATATAGAGGGCGCTTTTATTTCAGTACTGTCACAAAGAAAATAATTTAAAATAAACAAGACCCATTTATTAGCCATAAGAGATTTAGGAGCTTTCTTGCTCTCTAGTATCTAAACTTTGAAATCAATAAATAACTTCACTAGAGCATAATAGACCTCAAAATTGCCTTTGAAAAAAAGTTTTTACCTTAATTTTGGATAAGGAATGAGTATAAAGGTTTATTTTTAAGAGTAGCCCGACATTTTGCTTTTGGACGACCTAGCTATATATTGGTCGTAAATTGAATACTATTTTAATCTGCCATTTATAGTCTAGGAATGATCTTAGACACAACTGTATTAACTTATTATGCATGCCACATGCCTCATAAGCATGATACGCTTGTAATACATAATATTACATTGTCGATAGATGACATATTATATAGAGAATAGAGTTTCCTTTATCAGTTATCAGTGATATGTGGTACTTGTGATGATCATTCTTTGAACATGACACACCCACGAAACGCATGTTAAACGCGTGTGCAAAAAGGTCTTATACCTTTTCGTATTAAAACATCATATATTATTACGCTTCTTCTTCATCTTCGAAAGTAACCAACCGTACCTACTTCACAACACGTCACAGTTGGTTTTCACATGGAACATGTTTTCTCTCGCTCATGATGAGGCCAGAGAGAGTATCAGACTCTCACTGACTATCAACCACCTCAGCCTTCCTTGCCTTTCTCCAGGCCGGGGCAATGCTTGACCTGGTACCCCGGCTGAACATCAGCCATGTAGGGCCCTATCTGTGGTAGACAATTGCCTCTTTGAGGCGCACGGAAACGGTACGCACCATATGAGCATACGGTGCGTAGATGGGAAGGAAAACAGGAAAGTTGGGGGAGAAGCGCGTGTAGTATGTTTGTAAAGCATAGAAATAAAACTTAAGTATATTGGACAAAGTTAATAAAAAAGAAAATTAAAGAAGTCCACATTTTCAAAGTTATGGTTTGGAATTAGAGCTGATATCATTCCTGGGTTGCATGTCTAAAAGCAGTGCAGTACCTGGGCCCATCTTCAGTAATTTTATTGAACGGTTGGTTTTTAGTGAGTAAAAATTTAATGCTCTCTTTCGCTCTTCTCTGCTCGGTTACAAAACAAAAAAATATCGTTAAAGAAATGGCAAGGTGCTTATCACAGAGTCTGTAACAAGTTCCGAAATTACTAGCTCGCCAGTTTTCCTTGTCATTACTGATAAATAATGTACCAAAGCATGATATGTTCTGCAGCGCGTAGCGTTCCACGTGCGCCTCAAAGAGCCAACAGGCCGGCATAGATGAGGTCCCCTAGACCTGGTGTTCAACCGGGGTTGTGATTATGTGTCGTTGTGCGGTTTCCGAGCAAGATAAAGAAGGAACAGGGCGATTTTGATCAGTAAGAGTGTGAAGCTTTGATTATTTTCCCCTCTCAAAAAAAACCCACCATCGTACATGGAATATCACCGTAATGACTCTTTGCTGGTGTCTGTAAATACATACCTATTTGATATTTAAGTAGATATGATTTGTTCAACAAGTTAAACTAATATTTATATTTGATACGGCATTGCATTTTATCTAACTTACAGCTGTCATATTGTTATGATTTATAAATCCAAACTAATATTATAAATGCGAAAGTAACCCTGTCTGTATGGATGTCTGTCTGTCTGTCTTTTCTTCACGCCTAAACTACTGAACCGATTTCTGTGAAATTTGGTACAGACATAGTTTGGAGCTTGATAAAGGACATAAAATAGTTTTTATACCAAAAATCTGCAGGAAGTCACTATTCTACGCGAACGGAGTTGGGGGAAAAGCTAGTATTATATAAAATAAATCACAAACTACGAGAACTTCCTCGTAAACGACCAAAACAGTTTTTATTATCCTTAACATCGATATAGCAACAATGTTGTTATGTCACAGTGTTAAAACAATTGATCGGACGATCATTAAATAATGGCTGTTTAACTACATTACTGCCGTGTCAATGACCGATTACATTTTCTTGTTTATCAAGATTATCAAACAATTTACTCAAATATTAAACAATATAAAAGTTGTTGATTTTATTGTTAACAACTGTTGAAAGAAAGCAGGTTCTTTTGTCTACTGTTTCATGGTATTTAAGTGCGGGAGAGTCGTAGTCGTGTTTCAGCGCATATGGACCGATTCTCAAATTCCCGATCCTTAAATTTCTGATCCCGATTTTTTTTTAATAGTAATAGGTCGGCAAACGGGCAGACGGATTATCTTATGGTAAGCAATCAGCGCCGTCCATGGACATCCGCAACGGAAGAGTTACGAGTGCGTTAAAGCAATAAACTTGATTAGTTTCTCAAATTCTCTTAACATGCGGCTCTCTTCCATTATCATTGGTGACCAGACAGATTACCTGATGGTAAGCAATCAGCGCCGCCCGTGGCCACCGGTGGAGTGAGGAGTGCGTTAGCGACCTTTTGAATATTAGGGTTTGGGGGAGGAGAAAGATTGGACCTCCAGTAAACTCACTCACACGGCAAAACACAACGCTGTGGTTGTTTCACTCCGGTTTTCTGTGAGACCGGGGTATCACTCCGGTCGAGCCAGCCCTGGATTTATAAATAGGCCGCATAGGCCGCGGCCTAGGGGCGGCAGCATCCTAGGGGCGGCAGATTTCAGAGCACGGTCACTCGATATAAGAGGATAAAAGTCAAACACGTCCACTGATTTTCTCAAGGTAAAATAAATACTTTAAATAAATCCCTTTAGAAACTCATTCCTATCGAAACCTATATTATCGTGTGATGAGTGATAGATGAGAGCAGCGCAGCGGGTGAAGGCGAACGGCGCGGCCGGCAGGGTCTCAACGTAACAACCCCCGCTTCCCTTCCACCCTCGCCGAGCCGTCTGCGCGGCGCGCGCCCGATGCTCAACGCCCGCGCCAGTGTTCCGCGAAAGCGTCGATCGCAATATCCAATCTTTCTTAACTACCCAACTCAACGAAGAAATTTCTTACTGGAGGAACATTTTAAAGAGGGTTGTTGCTGTTATAAAAGGATTAGCTTCT